AGCAGGGGCAGACAGAGAAGGAGAAGCAGGCTCCCAGCTGAGCAGGGAGCCCAACATGGGACTCCAGCCCAGGACCTGGGGTCATGACCTGAGCCAAAGGCAGGCGATTAACTAAGCCACTCAGGCGTCCTGAGTTGAAAACCATTTTAAAGGAAATCTTGGATCCCACATCCTGCTTGTGCTGTTGGTTACAGGAGTTAAGTGTCTTTGAAAAGAGTATACTTTGCATTTATGAGTACTTAGTAGTTGTCTCACTAGCTATGCTAGTACTTCACACACCCAGACTATTTACCAGAAAGTGAGTGCAGCTACAGAGGATCTCTCTACTATCTTTGCAACTTTTTGTGAATCTATAGCTAGTTCAAAATAGGGTTTAAAAAAAAAAAAATCAGGATCCCTGGGTGGCGCAGCGGTTTAGCACCTGCCTTTGGCCCAGGGCACCATCCTGGAGACCCGGGATCGAATCCCACGTCGGGCTCCCGGTGCAAGGAGCCTGCTTCTCCCTCTGCCTGTGTCTCTGCCTCTCTCTCTTTCTCTCTCTCTCTCTCTCTCTCTCTGTGTGTGTGTGACTATAATAAATTAAAAAAAAATTAAAAAATCAAATGAATTACTGATTAAATAGTCAAAAAAAACTAACAGTTAAATATCTATGAATTAAATGATAGTATTTTTAGGGGACTTTATTTGAAAGTATCTGAAACTACCTATAACAGCAATAGCATTTGCCATGTAGCCCACACTCAGGCACAAAAGGTACATTCTTTCTAGTCTCCACAACCCGGAACCTGTCTGCAGCCCCATGGCTCCAGGGGCGGGGGGGGGGGGGGGGGGGGGGAGTGTCACAGCTAGGCTCTGACCAGACCTGTGTAGGAATAAAGAGGATCTTCTCTTCACTCTAAGACACTTCTCTCCAGTGGTTACCACTGTTTTAACAGAGCCCTAGATTTTTGGTTTTCAAAATAGATAATAAAAGTAATATATGTTCTTGTTAAAATTTCAGTGTCCAAAAGGCACAGAGGTGAATGTAGGGAAAAAACACTTAAGAGTTCTTTTATAAATCCTTCCAGATACAAAGTTTCATGTTTCCAAAATTTAAAAAAATGTATGTATTTAACTTACAAACAAAATTGGATTTATAACCACACACATTGTTGGGCATGTAAAAGGGCACAGCACTGTGTAAAACAGTTGGGCAGTTCCTCAAAAAGTTAAACACAGAATTACTGTATGACCCAGCAAAATGATTCCTAGGTTACCTACCCAAGAGAATTGAAAACGCATGCCCACACAGAAAGTTTGTACTTGGATGTTTGTAGCAGCAGTTTTCACAACACCTGGGAAGTTGAAAAAAAAACCCAAATATCCATGCGCCGATGAATGGATAATAAAATGTCATTTATCCATACCATGGAATATTATTCAGCCAAAAAAGGAATGCAGTACTGGCACATCCCATAACATGGATGAACCTTAAAAAAAAAGTATGCCAAGTCAAAGAAGCCAAACACAAAAGACTGCATCTTATATTAGTCCATTTATTTACAATGTCCATAAAAACAGCAAGGAGATCAGTAGCAAGAGTGACTGCTGGTGGGCACAGCAGGGATGTATCTAGAGGGTATTGGCATGTAAAGCATTATGAAAGTAGTGGTGAAAGTTGCCCAACTCTATGAACACAACTAAAAACTAGTGCACTGTACACTTGAAAAGGATGAAGTTTTCGTTTGTGCCATATCTCAATTTTAAAAATTGGGTTTATACCACCTTCTATGTTCCTATGGTGCAGTAAAGAGTTTGGGGTGTTCGTATTGCATCACATCTCACACAGAAGGGAGTATGCCCCTTTTCATGAACTATCAACAGTCCCCAGAGACCCCAATCAAAATATTAGATACTCATTTTTGTGGCAAATAATATTTTTTTGTTGTGGTAAAATATACATAGCAAAATGTCAGTGTGCAATTTGGTAAATATAATTTTAACGTGTGCATGTATCTTGATGTCTTCCCATTTAAGAAGTTCATGTTACCAGAAACAAAACTATAGCTATAGAAGCTTTATAATTTTCTGAGATGTGGTGCAGGTTTTTCTGCAGATTTACTCCATGCAGTCTATAAATTAAGATATATCCTAAGAAATTTATTTATTCTAGCAAAATGATGTTTTCAAATTTTTTAATCATAGTATAAGCATAATGACTTTATATATCCTTTTCTCCCCTTTATTTTATTTATTTTTAAGATTTTTAAGATTTATTTATTCATGAGAGACACAGAGAGACGCAGAGACACAGGCAGAGGGAGAAGCAGGCTCGGCTCCCTGCGGGGAGCCGGATATGGGACTCAATCCCAGGACCCTCGGGTCATAACCTGAACCACCCAGGCGTCCCTCAACCCCTCTAGTTTAATTAAACGTTTATTTTATAAACTTTCTAAAAAGTGAAAATACAAACTTTTGGTGGCCTCTACCATGTTGGACAGCTTGTTTGTTGTTTAAATATATTTTAAAGGGATGGCTTTTTAGAAAGAATGAGTTTCCTATGCCACAAAGTGAAACCTTATGCAAAAATGAATGGTAAGGAATGAACTGGAGTGGGAGGAACAATACAGGTGACCTGTGCTGACAGTTAGCCCGATGACGTCCGCCCGGGTCGGCCCAGAGTCCTCTTGAGGAATGTGCGCTGCCCGGGACGGAGGCTCTAGTTCACAGAGCAGCGGCCAGCTGAATCATATCTATTTTTCCAAACAGAAGAGAAGCTGATTTTTAATAAGGGTAATAAGCTTTTTATTTAATGCATAGCAATCCTGTGCAGAAGCTACGTTGAAATGCAACAGCAGTGCAAACTTTTTAAATTAGCCGTCAACATCCTCTAAATAAGCATCATCAAATTCTAACAGAGCTTGTGTCTGGCTCGGTTGGCAGCAGAGCACTTCTCAGGGAAGACGCCAGGGAGCACTGATTTCTTGGGATGTTAATAGCCCTTACGCCAAAAAGGGTTTCATGGTCATAAATTGGAGACCCCTCCGTGCGTCCAGGTTTCACCTGTGTCCTTTGCACAAGGTTTTCCAGAGGCCGCCGCTCAGGTCCGCCGAGCGCAGAGCCCCATGAGCCCCGTGGGCCCAACTCGCCAAGCTGTGCGCCGGGAGGCCCCCCAGGACCTCGGCCCGAAGCCGCAGCACGTGTGACCCAGTCACCGCTTCCCTCCTGTGACGCGGCAGCTGCTACCGAGCTCCCCCAATTACCGAGGCCAGGAGACGGGAGGGCCAAGAATCGGCGACCATCTTACGGGGTCGCGGTCTGCTGCAGACAGGAAGCCAGCGTACCCGAGGCGCTGGCCGACCTCCACTGTGACCCCGGTGACCTCCTCGGTGACTCTGCGGTGACCTCCGCCGTGACCTCCGCGCTGACTCTGTGGTGACCTCCGCGGTGACCTCCACGGTGACTGCAGTGACCTCCGCGGTGACCTCTGCGGTGACCTCCACGGTGACTCTGCGGTGACCTCCACCGTGACCTCTGCGGTGACCTCCATGGTGACTGCAGGCACACGTGGTGCAGACAAGGGCGCCAGGGGGAAGGAGGCCCAGAGGCCCACCCGGTCCCTTGGTCGGGGAGGGCGCTGAGAGGTCCCGCGAGCTCAGCCCTGAACCTGCCCGGCGGCCCTCCCCAACCTCGGCCAGCCCCTGGTCACAGCCCTGTGACTGCTCACACAGCGGCAGCAGGACACTGTCACTCGGCAGTCCTTTTTGAGCATGTGATTCCCTGCCCTTGCTTATTTTTGTGCTTGGTTTTGACCCAGAACCTGAAAATTCGCAGTTAAGATATTAAGCTAGTGTCAGGGCAGCGCCCTGCACGGCTATTTCTATGGTAATTGTTGTGAAAAACCGAAGGAGGTGGGAGGTGCCTGAGTCTTGCCCGGGTACGTGATTTTCAGGTTCTGAGTTGTTCAGGTTTGTAAACTGCCAGATCCTAACCACCTAAAACAGTATTTGCTATCAAACACTGGAAGAAATAAGAATATGTCACATTAATTGTTAAGGACACAAGCTTTTTAAAAAGTAAACAATAGCTATTGACATTGTGACACAGAGCAGAATCTAAGAAGCCTTTGTGAAATCTGCGGGTGTGTGTGTGTGTGTGTATCCGCACATACTCATACATATAGCAACTAAAACAGGAGGGTTTTTTTATTTTATTGTGGTAAAACGTACATAACACAAAATTTTCTACCTTAACCATTTTTAGTGGCATCGAGTGCATTCACACTATTGTGCGTCCATCACAGCATGCATCCCTAGAATGTCTCCACCTTCCCAAACCAGAAAACACTAGCTGCCCACTTCCCATTCCCTCGGCCCCTGGCAATCACCATTCTACTCTGTTTCTATGAGTTTAACTGCTGTAGGAGCTCCATGAATGGAATCATAAAATATTTGTCCTTTTGTGTCTGGCTATATTCTTTATTTTAGATAACCTGATAAATTGGTGATTTTCTTACTATGTAACACATACCTGTTTTGGGAAAATGATAGGAGACACACAAAAGCCAAAGGAAGAAAGTAAATATCCTGCCTGAGCTCTCCTCAGACACCCACTAAAATCATTTTTATGTCTTTCAGTCTCCTTTTACTTTGGCTTATTACATGTAGGTACGTGCATAGAGAAAGACGTTGTAAGTTGTTGCCTGCTTTTCATGTAGCGAGATATCAGAAACATTTTTCCATGTGTTTAAATATTTTCTATATAACCATTTCAATGGCTGATTAATACTTCATTGGGGAGATGTATCATAATTTGATGAACAATCGCCTTCCTGTTCTCGGGCAGTTTCAGAGGCCTGTCTGTCTGTGTGACACTGTCTTCACCATCTGAATCACCGTGCTCCCCGAATGGCGTCTCCTTGACATTAGGGATGGTGTTGTCGAGCAAACCTGCATATGCCCAGATCATAAAGCGGCACTTAAGTGATGAATACTATCATACAACATCGTTTATATTTCCAGGACAGCGGGGCTTTTCAGTTTGATCGATACCATGTGGCCCCCAGTGATGCCTCTAAAAGCACCTGGCCGTGGCCAAACCTGTGAAGAGGTAAGCCGGCATCTGAGGAACCTCCCCTGGTCACCACCTGCTCTGTGCCAGCTGCTGAGCCAGCCCCACCCCCAGTCCACGTCCCTGAAAAGGGAGGGTTCAGTGACTGTGAGCCAGGAGGACCGAGATTCACACTTGCCCACCTCCCTCCAAAGTCCGAGCTCTGGCTGCTTTCTCTGCCGCTGCCGCAGACCATTCTCCTTGAGGTTAATCTGTGGCAGCATTTTTAAACCACAACCTTGCATGTCATCGCAACAATCAGCATCTTAGGCTCGTACTAAATAAGACACAGGATGTTTTCCCCACCACCTCCCAATCACTATTAGAACCAACATTCAATTACCAATTAGAGCACAGACTCACATGACCTAGCAAATAAACTCTGTGGATATTCATTCAACCACCAGGTGAGCCAGGGATTTCCCTTTTCCTGCTGCATCACATTGTTTATGGTAGTTGCTCGCATGTATTAAAAGCGACTGATCAAAATGTGTGTCCCTTCTCCATCCTGAGTTTTATCCAGTGGCTGACTGGGGGCCGTCTTGTTAGTGTGGTAGCTGACTCCCCAGCAGACTGCTCAAACTATGACTGTACCATGCAAGACCAGGAAAATAGTTGTCAAAAGTGCCCATTTCTAGATTATTTAGGGGGAAGAAGTTTCTAAATGGTGTTTTCAAATATACTCTGAAGAATGATTTTTTTTAATGAAGTCTTAAATCCACAGTAAATTCAAAAAGTATAAAAGTTATTATGCTTGTTCCCAGTGATAAACAATATAGTCTATTTCTTCTACAACCTTCCAGAGAAATAGAATGCATCTGTGAGTAAATATCTATGTATTAAAGAGTAGATTTTAAGTGTATTTGAATGTTTTACTAGCATATTCACATTCTACCTTTGCCTTCATTTTAAACAGGTAAAAACCCATGTGCCTCCTCCTAGCTTCTGTTACATCCTCAGTGCTCATCCCAATGTGGGACAAATTGATATAATTGAAGGAGACCCTATTTCTAAGCTTTACCAGCCTCCAGTTCCCCACTTCTTAAGAGAAATTCTCCAGGTAACATCTGTGTTTCTAACAGGGTTTTTAATTATTTTTACTGTATTTGTGTGCTTTGTGTGATGTTCTCACCATCTTCGTTGCCTTTCCAGACTGATGATCTTAGTACCCGTTGCAGTTTCTACGCCAGAGTGATTTATCAGAGACCACAGGTAATCATTCCCTCTGCCTTTCTCTTTCTGATAATGTATTATAAAGTCATTAAAGGAATAGCCTCTCATAGAAATTAGTGGGGTGCTGAAATAGAAAAGCATTTTAAAAGTCCATTTAGCATGCTCCGTGCCTAGGCAATGAATCCATTCCTTGTGCAGGTGCAGCCTGCCAGCCACTGTGGTAAGTCCTGGGTATGGAACAGTCTAGGCATAGGTCATCCAAAAGGTTCTTAGCCCAGCACTGTGAGTTCCTTTCTGGCACAAATTGCAGAAAGGAAAGAAAGGAGGTGGAGGAAGGAATCTCCGGACTGAGCTTAGTCCCTTTCAGAACTGATCAACGGCTCTGAGCCATCAATAGGGGAAGCAAGCGCTGCAGCTCCTGGGAGGCCTTGGCAGTGCTGGAGAGCTGCAGCCTGGAAGAGCTGCTTGTCTGCTGCCATCCCACACGACGGATCAGCAAGAAGCAGACAAGAGCTGCTTTTGGCAAGCTGAGCATATGCCATAAGTTCTGCAAGAAAGAAACCCCTGGTTGCCCTTAACTCCAAGAGGAGCATCCCTGCAAATCTGTCACCGGGAGGATACCAAACATCCCAACGTTCAACCCTCGTTTTCCTTTTCTCCATTCACTTTTTAGTCATTTGACAATGAACTGGTACCTCTCCTGAGGAATAAGAGAGCGATTGTCAGTCACAGTGCTTCCTGTGGGCCACCCCAGAATTTGACTCAACAGGCAGGGGGACAGGCCCACAGTGAGGATGAGGTCCAGGCACCTGATGGTCTCTTACCTTCCAGCCCTGAAGTGAACTGAAGGCTGACTGCAAACTCCCCCGCCCGCCATCTGCAGGACTCTCAGTTTGTTAAGACATGCTTAGCATCTGGCACATTCCTATTATTCTAACACACATTCCAGATCGTAGGGCTGTGCCATCAGGCAGTGGTTCACTACGCAGCTACCATATACTCTGCAGATAGAATAGTGTCCTAAAGGGCAATATACCATGAGTTCCTGCCCACAGAGCCTCACCTGCTCACAGCCCCAGCTGGTAGTAGAGGTGGAAAGTAAAAAAACAGGTGTCAGATACACCATAGCCAAGCCTCAACAATAGAGCAGCCCCAGTGGAGTGGAGCCCTAAGACAGAGAAAGACAGACTGCAGGTCGTCTGCCTCACTTGGATGAGGGAACCCTGCCTTGTGGCTGGTTGAAAACCCTAATACCCTTCTGTTCTAAGTTTTCTGCCAAGAAATATGCTTCCACTGGCATAGGTGCAACCTGCCCGCAGCTCTGTGGTTCAGTGGGTGTATGTACCAAAGAATTGGTGGTACTTAGGGAGTAGGAGATTGGAACCCAATGGAACAGATGGCTCAATGCACTAAAATTCTCTACCTCCTGTATGCTGCTTTTGTGGGACAGAGAATCACCAGAATAACTAATAACTATAACTTCTTATAGTAATAACTTCCTTGGGGAGAAATGGAAATAAGCTAATTCCTAGGGCCACTGTGTGGTCAGGTCAATCACCTACAGGGTCAGTTGACTTTAAGAATGGCATGACGCCTGGGGGGCTCAGATGGTGGAGAGACTGCCTTCAACTCAGGCCCTGATCTCCGGGTCCTGGAATCGCGTCACACGTTGGTCTCCCCTCAAGGAGCCTGCTTCTCCCTCTGCCTGTGTCTCTGCCTCTCTCTGTGTGTCTCTCATGAATAAATAAATAAATAAAATCTATAAAAATAATTGACACAATGAGTCACTGCAAGAACCTGAGTTCTCAAAGAAGATTCAGTTGTATTTCCATTATACAAATGGCTAGGTCATGCAAGGCAAAAACGTATTTTCTTGTATTTAACTTTTTCTTTAAGATTTTATTTTTAAGTAATTTCTACACCCAACCTGGGGCTCTGTCTTACAACCCCAAGATCAAGAGTCACATGCTCTACCAACTGGGCCAGCCAGGCACCCCCTTAAATTTTATTTTGAATAAAATTATTCTAACTTTTTAGATTCATAGGAATTACAGATTCACAATAGACTGCAAAGAAATATATGGTATCTCCCGTACATCCTCCCCCATCCTAATACCCCATGTCTACACAGCCACTATTACAACACCCAAACAAGCCCTGATCTGGTGTTATCATTATAATTATGTTATTTCATGATCATTACACAAATGGAACCATACAATATAAGTGTTGTTTTCTAGGCCAGTTGCACAAACTACCAAAAACTAGATGTGTAAAACAACAGAAATTTGTCATTTCACACTTTTGGGAGCTAGAAGTCTAAAATCAAGGTGTCAGCAGGGCTGTGCTGTCTTTGACAGCTCTGGGAAAATTCTTGCATCTTCCAGCTTTTAGCGTTCGCCAGCAATCCTTGACCTTCCTCGGCTCTGTATACACACCGCCCTAGGCACATGGCCATCTTCATCCTGTGTGTCTTCATGTGGTCTTCCCTCTGTGCCTATCGGTGTCCAAGTTTCATTTTTTTATAGGAACAACAGTCATATTGGTTGAGGGCCTGCTGTAATGATTTCATCTTGACTTGGTTAAATTTGTAAAGACCTTATTTCCAAATTAGTTCACATTCCACGGTACTAGAGTTAGGACTTCAATAGATCTTTTTGGAGGAACACAGTTCAACCTATAATAACAGCTCCTTTGGGAGCTATTTGGTGGTGGTGGTGGTGGTGGTGGTGGTTTTCAACTAATGAAATTCTCTAGAGATTCATCCAGAGAACTAATGATGTTAAACGTCCTTTTGTATGTTTATTTGCCATCTGCATCTTTGGTGAGAGGTGTATTCCTGTCTTTTGCCCATTTTCTGTTTGGATTATTTCTTTGTTTACTGGTGAATTTTGAAAGTTCTTTACTCTGTATACAGAGTCTTTGTCAGATATGTATTTTACAAATATTTCTCAGGGTCTGTACTTTTTCTCTTCGTCCTTTCAACAGGGATTATGCAGAACACAGTTTTTCATTTTTATGCAGTCAAATCTATTAACTTTCCATCTTATAGATCATGCGTTTGTCATAAAGTTTAAGGCACTCAAAGCTTTTTGCCTATTTAGGTCCCAAAGTTTATCTTTTATGTTCTTTTCTAGAAAATTTGTAATTTTACATTTGGGTCCATGCTGTATTTTGAGTTGGTTTTTGTATAAATTGTGTAGTTTAGGTCAAGGTTCCCTTTTTTTTTTTTTCTATGAATGTCTGGTTGTTCCAGCAACCAGATAGGCTATCCTTCCTCCATTGAATTGCTTTTGCAACTTTGTCAAAATTAATTGGGCAGTTTTGTGTGGAAGAGATTTATTTTTAATAAAATTTTAGCAATTGTATTGGTATCAGTACTTTGAATTAATTGGTTATTTGTGTCTTTTTACAGAGGATATTATTTGTTACGGGTTGTGTTCATAACCCCAATGGTAAAGATAATTTGATAGCTAATTTCAAAAGAAACTAGTCCATTTTGGCTCATCAAGAGATTTAAAAGGAGATAGTAAGCCAAATCCAAGGTATTTAGAAAGAGTATCTAAAATCTTTGAATATTGTCAGAAAAACTCCCAACTGCATGTAATCTTGTAGAACTTTGCCCTTCCTGGAATATACCATTTTTTAAAATGTGATTTTGCTAATTGTTCCTCCAAAATCATTTATACCTCTACAGTCCAATATAGTATCATGCACTGCACTTAGTTATCATCTCTCTTTCTTCTTCAAATGGAATATTTCTGCATCTTTGTGTATCTTCTGTGACCTTGACAGTTTTTAAGAATAGGGACCAATGCTTAAATAGGATATCTCTCCATTTACATTTGCTAGATATTATCTCATTGAAGTTATGCATCCTTGTCAGGAATACCACATAAAAATACTGTCTTCATATCAGAAAGCACACAGTTGATTTGTCCCAGTCCTGTGATATTTTATCAATTAATTAAGATGGTATTTTCTAATATGCTCAACCTCACTCACCATCAGGGAAATACAAGGGTCTTCACAGGCAAATCGTTGGCCCCATTTGGATCTACTGACCAAGGGGAAAGGGCAAAATGCCATTAAAATGAACTTTAGGGATCCCTGGGTGGCGCAGCTGTTTAGCGCCTGCCTTTGGCCCAGGGCGCGATCCTGGAGACCCGGAATAGAATCCCACGTCGGGCTCCCGGTGCATGGAGCCTGCTTCTCCCTCTGCCTATGTCTCTGCCTCTCTCTCTCTCTGTGTGTGTGTGTGACTATCATAAATAAATAAAAATTAAAAAAATAAAAAAAGAAAAGAAAATGAACTTTAAAAGGCATTACAACTTTTACAGATAAAATTATAATGAAAAATAAAGAATAAAAGAAAGATGATTACTAGAGTTAAGATGACACAGTAGTATGGGGACACTCACTTTGCCTCATTCTTGAAACAACATCCAACTACTTTGAACAATCAGGAATACAATCTGAGGATTAAGAAAACAATCTGCACAGTCAGAGGGAGAGAATGTGGCAGATGCAGGCTTATCATTTTATGTTTGTCTGTTTGTTTGCATTTTTGTTCCTTTTCTAGTGCCTTGGATCTGCCTTTCCTTTTCTTCTTCTTTTTTTTTTTTTTTCCTTTCCAAGGCTTATCTTGACTAACAAATCAAAGCACATTGAGTTAAAGGTCCAAACACTCCCCACTACAAGCAAGAAGGAACACTGTAGAAGACTATCAGTGGGAACAAACAGCCAAAACACACATCACAGAGTACATAGTATACACCAGAGACACTTCCTGAAGTTTTTGTTGTTGTTGTTGTACTTGCTATTATTGTTGTTTTTGTCAATTTTTTTCTTTTTCTTTTTCTTTCTTCCTTTCTTTTCTGGATAAATGATGAGACAGAAATTCACCCCAAAAGAAAGAGCAGGAGGTAGACTTAACTACCACAGATCTAATCAATGTGGATCTAAGTGAGATGTCTGAACTAGAATTTAAAATAACAATTATAAAGATACTAGCTGTGGTTGCCTAGGGGGCTCAGTTG